TTCCTTTCCCTACACACACACACACACACACACACACACAATCACTTACGCACTCATATTTATACATACAGCCTCGAACTCATAGTCTAGTTGATAGTCCTTTCTACCCCACAGAGCCTCAGGGAAAGTCCAGCTCTGAATCAACCTCCAGATATTCTTTGTTTCCCCCTCCAATTGTAGACTTTCTAATCATCTCCTGGCGGCTACTTGTGGGGGAGACAGAATCCTGGCTCTCCCAGCCTCGCATTTGCTGCTATCTACATCCTGACTTCTTATCAGGTCCCTGCTTTATCTTCCAGAGGACCTGTCAAGGGGTCCCGGCTGGTGGGTGTCAGAGCACAGGCTGGGTCCTAGTGCCTGAAGTAGGACCCCTTGCCCTGGCATTTGTCAGTGGGGCAGGCTGGGGCCAGGCCTGGGAGCTTGGCAGGAGGCCTGGGCTGGCGGGCAGGTAGGGCCCCACACTGGTGACAGAGGACTGATCATGGCCAAGTGCCCACCAAGGACGAGGCACATCCCAGTGAGACATAAATGAGACCTGGTGCCCTCTGGAGACTGGCATTCCCGGAGGGCACTGATGATGGACGGACAGACGGACCTGGGGGTGTTTCCTCACCAGCTAGTGTTTCTTTTTGGACTTCCTTGGTGCCTTTGGAGGAGAAGAGCCCTCAGGATAAGCAGCTGCCTATAAAATCTAATTTCAGCCAAGTATCTCGGGAATTTATGGATTGTCTCCACACTTCTGTCTGTGTGCCTCAGGGTGACAGCTGAGCCTCTGGGGTCACACTCCCCCTCCCCCTCCCCTGCCCCAGCCTTACCCTTTCCTGGTGGCTGAGGCGGAGGTGGAAGCCCAGCAGGCTTTCAGACAGGATGGGATATTTAGGAGAGCTGGCCAAAGCCCCACTGACTGGGGTTGAGATCTTCATGGGCACAAAGGGAAAGGAGAGAATTAGGGCAGAGGAAGAAGTGGCTCTGGAATAAAATTATTGAGTGTCCTTTAGATTCTGCCCTCCCTGCTGCAAACCAGGTTCTTGGACCAAGTCCAAACTCCTGAGCCTGAGCTCCAGGCCTGCCCCCATCTGTACACACTGGCCTCTCCATAACCAGCTACCTTGCACTCCTGTTCCCCACCCCAGCTCTTTTCGTCCTCCCCACGAGCTTTTGCACAGTCCTTTCCTCTGCTCCCATTGGAAAGCTCTATGTCCAGGCTCAGGCATGGTGGTGAGCCAGGTCTGGGCCTGGAACATCTCCCTCTGCAGCCCCAAGGCCCCTTTCCTTGGCCTGGGCCCCAGGGACCTCCTGGTCAGGGGGCTTCAAACTGCTCCTCAGCCAAGTGCCCACACAGAGGACCACACGGTCCTACAGTGATCCCTTCACCCAGTGCCATTCTGGTCTTCCTGATTGAATTGTCTTGCTTCCAAGTAATATTTGGTTTGAACAAAGGGTTCAAAAGCTAAATATCAAGTGGAAAACCTCTTATCAAACTCCTAATTTTGCAGATTGGCGAACTGGCCAGAAAGGGTAAGGACTCACTAGAGTAGAACACTGGGTTTGCTCCGCCTCCTGACTTATTCTCCCCAGCGCCCTACCCCGGGTGCCAGTCCCATTGCCACCTATGTGAATGGCACCCCCTGGAGTTGTGCCATGTGGCAGCTGCCTGCATTCCACTTCTACCCCACTCCACTCACCTTACAGGTCATCCCCTCTCTGAGCCCCTCACTGACTGCCGCTTTTACCCACAGGACAAAGTCTAAACTCAGCTTGTAGTTCAGGGCTGGTGAGCGAGCTCCACCCTTACCTTCCAGCCATTCTGTTCCCCACAGGGGTCACCAAGCTTTGTCTGAAAGGGTCCAGAGTAAATATATTAGGCTTTACAGGTCACATAAGTTTCTGTTGAGTATTCTTTGTTTATTTTACAACCCTTTAGACAAAAACGGGCTGGGGCCAGGTTCAACCTGTAGGCTGCAGTTGGCCGATCCCTGCCCTGCACCCGTGTTCCATCCTGACCTGTCTGGTTTCTTCCTCCTGCTTTCTGATGCTCTCTCCCAGGCTGGGCTGCTGACAGCACCCAAGTTAATGAACTCTCCCTCATTAAGGATTCTTTGTGC